CTTCCTAAAGCAGCAGAAGCTTGCAAGAAATCATTATGAGATTCCATATATTGACCACTGTCATTAAAATGATGGCCCGTTGACCTATAAGGGCTTTTGTTAGCACCACAGCTACCAACAGAGGACGAGACACTCTCAGCATCAGTACGTTCTTGCATGAGTCGAAGATAATGTTCACTGTCAGCATTTTCCCTTTGAACCACTTGAATTGCTTCAAAGATTCCTCTGTTTATGTTGATTAAGGAATTACGTAGATTTCTTTCGCCAAGCAATGTTTGTGATGGAGGAACAGCATCTACCTTTTCCAACATTGGGTTACATCCAAAGACACCGTGACGAAAACCTTCCTTCTCAACAGCCGTCTTCTTTCTTAAAGGCCCGGTACATTTTTCAACTTCCTGGAGGCAACTCCTCGACCTTTTCTTCACATTCCTAGCAACACTCTGATAAGAATCCTCTATATTTTTGTTAGCCTGCATTAGATAATCAATGTATCGTGGTACAGTGGAGATTAACTTTTCATTTGAGATCCCATTTGTTACTTTATAACATCGTTTTCCGGCATCCTGAAAGGAAATAGCACATATTTAGACCCAATTTCAAGTCAAGAGTTATTAAGAGAAAAGCAGTAAATTTAAGTACATCATTCTCCAATAATTAACTTTAGTTTGTTACCAGGATGAATCATGATGTTCTTCTTAATATACAATGACTTCAAGTGTACAAAAAGAAAAACAAAGAGATAGCATGTATGCCTTCTAACCAACAAACAAAAAACTAATGGCATAATATCAGAGAAAGATTCAAAGATTATACCTTTGGAATAATAACCCATTTGTTATCCTCCCAACGTTTGATTAGCCTAATGCAAGATGCGTGGACAATGAGTTCTGCGGAAGAACTAACGAGCCTAACAGAGTAGTTTAGCCCAGGAGAAAACATTATTATTTTGGCACGCATCCATGAGAAGTTATCAAGCACTTCAACACTATCACCCGGCATCCAATCCAAACGAGTTCTCTCAGCTGGAGGGCAGGGTCTGATGGAGCTTCTTGGTACTCTTTCCACAGAAGAATCAGCATCAGGTAGATTTCTATCATATCTAACATAATAGCTACGCCCATTTCCAGAAATGATCTCTGCACACCACCATGACCCTGAAGGATCTTCCCGCTTGTTCACCACTTCAACCTTAGTCCCTTTCTTCAACCTCATTTTTCACAATATCCCTGTCACCCAAACCTAAAAAAAAAACAATCAAACCAATCAAAAGTAAGAAAACTTTGAACATGTGTGTCTGGTAACTAAAACAATCAAATGCAACAATTAAACAGTTCGCCGGAGAGATCCGCTACAACACAACGCATAAATGACAACTAACATTCAATTCCTCAAAACCATTGATTTCAAATCAACCAACTGGAGTTATAAATCAAAAATATCAGCTCTGCAACAACAGTATCAAAATCCTCACGCATCCGAATGAAGCATCGTCCTTCCTACATTCGATCAACTGAAAACCAATAATTAAAACATCGAAACTCCTCCAAAAGATGCGGTAATAACCGATTAGGTCTTAAACGTAATAGATAAGCTTTATATCAACATATAACTCCTCGAACAGCAGCAATTATACCTTCAATCTCATCATAAAAGTTCAAAACAAGTGCATTGCAAATCTTCAAATCGCTAAAGAAAATACCATGAACCAAAAATCACAAACAGCTAAAAATTACTGATTTAAAACACAGATGAAAAGCTACGCAAATGCATCAAAGCATTTCGTCTCAAAAATAACTAACTTTGTAATCAAATGCAAGTAAAACTAATCACACGACAGTAAAATTAATCACTCACGATTAATCACAGCGAACGATAACAATCTATCAAGACAAAGTTCAATCAGCAATTCTGATTTCCCTTCCCCTCGCTCTCCTCTCAATCTCTGGTTAACACCTTCAAGCCTTCTGTTCTCCTCCGCAACAAAACACAATATTTTCCAATTATGAACGTAAATATAGTATTCGGAGAAAAATAAGCTGATAATGGATCTAAAAAATTGATTTTTAATTGTTGTTTTGCGGGTATTTGGAGTCCGGCTTAATCTCCTTGCTCCACTAATCCGACTCGTTCTGGGTCCGTCGATCTGTGCGGGAGTCGCCCCCGAAGTTTGGATTGATCGCATGATCCAACGGCTCTAATCTGCGGGTTGGCTGAAACGACCGCCGCGTTCGCATGCGGAACTGAAGGTCAAAACGTCATGACCTGGTTTTTAGCAGAAGATGGCTTGAATTTCGCCTCATCGTCCCAAACCGAATCGTGACTCACCTGAAATAATGCTCTTAGTACTTTTATTTTATTATTTATTGAATAATAAATATTCATTTTATAAATCACAATATGTTTATTCATTGACTTATTTTTAGGAGATTATATATCTTGATATAGTAAAAGAGTGCTATTTTTATAAATGAAAACTAATCATGCCTCAATTTGGTTAAGTGTGGCACTCATAAGATCGACCAAAATAACTTTTCTTTTTGACCGTCCGTACCGACTTACCTATTGGTTTTATGACAAGTCATATCAAGCTTTGCAACATGCGGAAATGTGAGTGTGGGTAATCATTGTTCGCATGATTTCCACCCATTGCCGTCTTTAATCATTATGGTTGTCTTGAGCCATGCAAGTTCTTTGTGATTTGAATTTAGGGTGCCATCAGAAGCTTATGAGAAATGATTATCAACCGTGATGACTTTCCTTGCTTGGAGAAAACAACAGTGTACTCATAGGCGGCACTTGATGTGATGATGTTTAGGATATGATTTGTTACTCAAATAGCTTTTGTCTTATGACATCTCAATCTATTGAATATGGTGTTGTTATTTTGTGTCATGTCTAACAAAAATTTGGTGAGAGCATGGTACTTGTTCAAGCTAAACTAACGGATGATTATCCAAAATTTATAGATGTAATAATGTAGGATTTAGTTAGTTTTTTGCATGAAAAGAGTAAAGCAATGTGAAAAAGAATGATAATTTTGATATTATTAGAAAAAGTTTATTTTGTAGATGAAATTATCAATCTTTTCCTAAATGTTAAGTTCTATAATAGTGAAAATTGAGCATGAGATTTCATAGTGGCATGTTGAGAGTTGCAACATGGCTAGAGTCTTATAAGAATCAATT